CAGAGAGACCAATACCGTATACCACTTAATGAAGGAATATGGTTTAAATCATAGATGAAGCCCTATATGATTTGAGCCAAATTCCTTAATTAAGGGGTATTGGGCTCTCTGGGTCGTCGGTATATACTTATGTGACTTATGTGAGCTGACTTTGGGCCGGAGTCCGTCTGTCGGTTCCCAGTCTTGTTTGCAGCCCTGGTGCAATATTGGGAAGCAAGGTGGCCCGTCCGGGCTCGCGGCAGCTGCCGCGGTTTTGGTGGCCGGCATCGTTGCGAAGAGGTGCCTGCTGTTGAAGAGTGTGCTTGAAGATGTGTTGGCACATGCAAGTAGATGCCGTACGCAGTTCCAGGATCTGCCAGGCATGGACAATCATGAACACTCCAGAATTGTCCAGAACCGCTTTGTGATGATTTTCCGTACATGTGCTCCCAGAATGCCGGCAATTGCGTGCATGCAGCGTATCTCAGCAGCTTTATGTTTGTCCTCTGGTTGGCATGATCAGTGAACGACAGTTGCAGAGCATCGTCTTGAAAACTTCCAGTCATGCCTCCTTCATTTGGAAAGATTCTTGCCTGCAGAAGTTACGTAACGACGTAGACAGCACACAAGCCCTAACCTTCACCAAGGCAGCCTACCAGTACTTTCCCAGTTATTCGGAACAAATCGGTGTTCCTTCCCTATGGCCAAAGGGAGCGTCTGTCAATCCAGCACCTGCAGTCGGGTTCGGTTGCCTGGTCTTCAGACAGTTTACAGGCTGCCTGTTCTTCAGGAGGAGCCCTGATCAGGATCATAGTGATAGCTTCAAGAAAGGAACTGGTATCAACAGGAAGGGCCACAAGAGGTGTACGCCTAGTATCAGGATCCAGCAATGCAATTATGCTATAATGAGCGTCGCGATTCAAACTTGGCGTCGAACCCTGCAAATTTTTGGCTTAGACTCGAAACCCAAACGATTACGGTAGCGCTTGATTCCGGAGCCATCCTAACACTTCATTTCTTGAAGCTCGACCCTATCCCCAAATCCAAGCAGACGGATGGTGGACAGGAGCGCGACGGCAGTAGCACTCCGTGCAGGGGTCTTGGTTTGACTAAACTGGCACATAAATCCGATGCACACGCATATACACATGTATGTGTATACATCTGCGTTTATCTGTTTCTTTATATATACATGTATGTACGTGTGTTTCATCTGTGGTGCATCTTCTAGATATGCCTACATGTATGTATGTATGTATGTATGTATGTTATGCATGCATGCATGCATGCATGCATGTATGCATGTCTGCATGCATGTATGTAGGCATATATGCAGGATTATGTATGTAGGTACTTGGTATATATGCATGTATACAAGCGAAGAATAGTTGTATCTATGTAGCTATGTATCTATGTATATAGTATGTATGGCTATTTATGAATTATGTATACATGTATATATCTTCATACCTACATGTTCATATACATTTACAGTCGTATATATGTATGTATTGATATATGTCTATGTGTATATGTGCATCCATGTGTGTATGTGTCATGTGTGTTTATGTGCATATATATACATATATATATACACGCATATATATATATATATATATATATATTTATATATACACATGTCTATATGTACTCTGTCTGTCTGTGTGTGTGTGGGTGTATGTATAGTTCTAACTCCACATGGCTCTGAAGACTCTATGGACATATTGTGATGCATGGAAGTACTGTTGGAGTGATGTGCAGTCGGTCGTTGGCGCCGTTACGACCAGCAGTGTTTGGTTCAGAGCTTTCTCGGAATAATTGGTTCATTCCGAAAAAACCATCTTATCGACGCTGAGGCAGCAGGAACTTCCACGGGCAAAAAGAAGAAGGCTGCTGGAAATGCACCTGTCGCTCTGTGTTGTCTGTGAGAGCTAGCTTATGCTTACGATGTGACATTGTTGAGCCCAGGGCTGGAAGCCTTCTCATGAGATGACAGTGCCATCGGCGTGTCACAGATGCATAGCCCGTTTGTGTACATGTCTGTCGCCCTGTGCAGTCCGGCCGAAGCATTGCGAAGGAGATTCTGATTCTGAGATGCCGATGCAGTCGTTGTTCTTTTGGCTATTCGAGCTGCAGCACTCAGGTCGTACGTTGTCTGGCTCTGTTTGGCGGATCCCTTGCTGATCTCAGCCCCGTGCACATGCAGGAGACGCTTGCGAGATTGCGTTCTCGCTCGCCGCGCAAGGGCCCGAAACCCGAGGCTGGGGCAAAGTCCCCCGACCTGACCAGGTCCAGGAGTCCAGTTCCCATCTGGCCTCGCCTAAGCCTCAAGCTCAACCCCCCTCTGAGCAGAATTTCCTTGATTTGAAGTTGCAAGTGTTTGGTTAACATCATTATGAGGAGCGCCTGGCCAGACAAGCCTACTTCCACACCCCCCCGGACTTGGTCAGGGCGCGCGGAAGAAGATGCCTCCATCACCAGATCCTTGGGAGCTGGAGCGCAGCGAAGACTAGTCACCCTAAATTGGTCAAGAAAGACAGGTGCTCTTGCTTACAGCAGTTACGTGGGCCTTCAAACACGTTTCTGCAGGCATATGCGAGGATGGGACAGGAGGTCGTAATCTGGAAAACTGCTATTTGTAGCATCCTGCGAGCTCCTCAATTCTGATAGCGTTCGGTTTCGGATGCACTTCAACAGACATCCCTTAAGTTGAGCCTCGGTCTCATCAGCCTTTATAGCCTAGCCCCCGCTAGGACGAGGAGGGCCGGAAGATTTTTCCGTGGCCGAAGTCCTTCGCTGAGATTGCGAGCACCTCAGTTCCTGACAGTGCTCCAAAACGCGGTTCTTGACGGGTCAGTCAATAAGGTGCAGACGGCTGCCTATTCGTCTCACCGGCTTGTTTTGTGGAGCGATTCCATCGGGTCACACGGCCGGAGTTATTTCGGAGCCGCTGAGGCAGTCCTATCTAAAGCTAAACGCATCGTAAGGCTGGCTTTAACTTGTCACCTTGAACCCAAATCCCTAAGCCGAAAGAGGCCAGCCAAAAAGATTTAATCCCGAAACCCCAAATCCCTACGCCCAATTCCCCCGGCCAGGACGATGAACCTCATCATGGAGGGGGAGACTCGTCTGGAGGCCAGGTCTATGCCACCCCCAAACCCAAACCCTGAAGTCCAAAGCCCAAACCCCCTTGGCCTTCTTGGAGGTTCAAGGGTAGTTATAAGTAGGGTTATACGTAGGATAACTATAGATATAACCCGTATTAGAGGACCTATAACCCCACTTATAACTACCCATGAACCTCCCAGTTGGCCCCTTTGAGGTTTGCTTTCCTCCGCTCCCTTTGGCCGACCTCGACTGGAACCTTTGCGACGTCACAGAGACGAGGCAAGTGCCAAAGGGCCAGATATGGGGGTTTCCGAAAATAGGGGACCCTGATAAAGTGCTCTATAAGAGGATCCTTATTAAGTGAGGACCCCACAATATGGTACCCCTAATTTTCGGAAACTCCCATATACAGACAGACATGCATACATGCCAGACTTACTTACCACACTTACTTACATGCATACATACGTGCATATGCATGGTATGTATACTGTATTTGTATACCTAGAGAAAGGTACATGCACATGCATTGATGCTCACATCCCTTCTTTGCTATCAGGGTGGTTGACGCCAATATTCAGCATGCCATTGCCTTCGCAAAGCTCATCATCAAGGACAGTTGTGGAGCAGTGGTGAACCGTGCACCTACGGCAGACCACTTCGTCTCATGTGCCACTCCAATTCCAGTCTCACTGTTCCTTGCAGGACAGGCGAGGTTTCCCGCAGATGAACGCCGAGGAGGCGGGAGGAGCAACATAGAGACGTGACCTTCCAACATACCAGGAGACCAGCAACGTACAACGACACTTGCACAATGCTGTTCCTCCCGCTGGGAGTGCTAATGGAGTACGGTGAACCGCTTGGAACTTCAGCCGGCTTTAAACCGTAGATACCCGAAGCCTACTTGACCCGCTTGTGATGCAGGCACTGAAAGCAGCAACTGCCGAGTCCTCAGAGCAAAACGCGAGACGAAAATCAGGAAGGGAGAGCCAAAACCATGCGGCTGATCTTCTGCAATATTTTCCGATGTCGAAAAGAAGCAGAAAAATCGATCATAAGTCAGTCGAGTCTAGTAGTTTGGTGGTATTGCATGCCAACATCTCACATTCGTTACACTCAGGAGGGGGCAGAGCTCCAAGAGCCGGACAAGATCAAAGGGCACGCTCCGCAGTCCCTGCTTTGGAGTTTTATGTCTCTCCAAGTCTCTGACACGAAAAAAGAAAATAGCAACACTGGTAGCGCTACTAGTAAGGAAGGATGACCATCGTCACAGATGCGCGGAGTAACAGCGAGACTACATGGAGCAAAGGAAAAGTCTAGTCATTTGTAGATGTGCAGAGCATCCGAACGAAATCTCGGAAAAAAAATATCCGTGCAGCCTGACCCGGCCGGGAGGCTTCTGGAGCGACGCTTTAAGAAGAAGCCAGACGGAGATTTGGGGCGAACTGCCTGGCCCTGACTATCCTAATAACTGTCGCCGATCCATGACTGCTGACGAGTGATGGCAAGTGTGACCATGAAGCTCTGTGTATTTATCACGAGTTCATGGCTTGATCCGTGGGATTTGCTACAAACCTACTCCTTTTTTTTGGGCTTGAGCCACATCTACTCGACTCACGGTCGAAACGATCCGAGCAGAAGTCGGGACCGTGAGCTCCAGCGTTTCGCCACGAGATAGATACTCCGAGCCGTCGTCCCCGGACAGGAAGCGAGACGCTTAGGAAACTTCGACCGAAAGACCTCGTACACTGACAACCATGGCACACTCAAGAGCAAAGAACCGTGAGTCTGGAGTCCCAGAAAATATGGGGAACTTCAGGCCCGAACTCTAGAACCCTTTTCATAAGGACACCCAAACCAGGTACTCCGAGTTTTCAAACAACCCAACCCCCCCTCATGTCGTCCATGCAGCCATGTGGATCTGCATCGCGTCCGAGAAGGATCGCTGTGTCGCTTACGTCAGCCTGTTGCATCGGCACTCGTCCCTTTCGGCATCCCCACGCTTGTCCCCGGCCCAAACCTTAGCTCTTAAAGCTTCTTTCCTAAGCTCAGAATTTTTCAATTAACATCACCTCATCGCCAAACCCGAAGCCCTCAGCCCTCTTCCCCCCTAAACAGTGAGCCGCTTTTTAGAACGCCCCAAGCTTCGAAGGAGCTGCCGGCTCCTGGGGGTGTCCGCTCCTTTCCATGCTCTGGCCGGCAAGTGGCGGTGCTTCGAGGCGAAATGCGCACATCACAGTCCGCGCATATATGTATATATATATATATATATGTATATGAAAGTTTGTATGTATATATATGTATATATATGTATATATATATATATATTACTCCAAAAGTCTGCATGCGGTCCCGCCCTTCCTCGGAATGGCTGGTATGATTTGGAGGCGCCTCAAAATGAATCCTCGCACGTTGTGTGGTTCGGGGTTGATATTGATATTACGATAACAATCTGCCGATGTTTGTTTATCTACGTTATTTTTTGCTTGTACTGTGCACACCGTGCACACGCACTTAGGTACATGCCTGCCGCATGTATATGTAAATGTACCTGTGTATTGCATGCGCTGTGTTCCGACCTAGCCATAAAACCGAAGCCGAAAACCCAAGCAGAAGCCTTGTGTTCTGCACGGCTGCATCCAATCTGGCGAAACTTATTCCATGAGCGCTCTAGATGGGCCAGGTAAGGACGGTGACCTCTACGCCGCTGATGATGCCCTTCCTCCGCTGTCACGCGTTACGGATTGGCCACAGACTTTGCAGTGATGAGTGCGCTGATCCGCGAGACCTGCAACGTACAGAAAGAGCGTAGAGTTTGCTGCTCTTTGACGTTGTGGTTGCGATGGCGGCTAGGGACGACTGCAAGCTTGCTTCGGGTTGGGAAATAAGCAGAGCTGTTGTTAAGATGACGCCTTCCCACAGTGGCCTTCTGACGCTTAATGACTTAATCAATACGAACACCAGGCTACAGCCTCTCTCCGGGCCGGGTGTGCAGTTCGACGGCCGCATCCTGCGGGCGGACTGTGCAGCGTTGGGCACGAAGTTCGATCTCCGCAACGGAGAGGCCCATTTTCACAAGCTTGTTGCTCAGATGCTAACGGCTGCCGGGAGACTGCTGGAGAAGCTGAAAGGTCGGCAAATCCTTTCAGCAGGAGCTCTAACAATAGAGTTTATATGCAAAAGCTTCAACAAAGTGCATGCAGGTAATGGGAGCGTGGTGCCCGGGACGTGGTGTTCGAACTTTGGGTGAGGAGGCCTCGGGCTTAATCAGCGATCTGCATGACCCAAGCGGATGAGTTGGATACAGCATTACCTACCACACACATGTATGTACCTACATTTTTGCATATTCTTATGTACTATGTATGTATGTATGTATGTATATATACATATGTAGATATGGCAGCATGGATATGTAGGTGTGTGAGTATAACACACACACACATATATATATATATATATATTTCCACATGTACATATATGTATATAGAGTGCTAACCTTTTCGGCAGAATCTGGGAAAATCGGGCCACGATGGGTCGGGAATAGAGGAGAGTTTTTTCAAGCAGATGCGGGGGCAATTTTCAGATGCATTTTCCCGCAGTTTTCAGGAGCACCTACGGCAAAAGGTTGGGAACGCTGGGGGGGGGGGGGCGGGAGGGGACTACGAACGTATGTGCATTTACATGGCGTGTTAAAATGCACAGCGATATGTCTCTTCGTTCCTGTGTCACTGGACGAATTCTACATTTGCTGAAGGCAAAGGAAAGGGTTTAGGGTTTAGGGTTTGGGGATTAGGGTTTTATGGTTTAGGTTTCGGGAACGGTAGGTGGGGGGAGGGGACTACGAATGTGTGTGCATTCTCATGGTGTGTTAACATGCATAGCGATGTCTCTCTTCGTTCCTGTGTCACTGGATGATATTTACCCCTGCTGAAGGCAAGGGAGAGGGTTTAGGGTTTATGGTTTCCGACTGTGCCTTCGTCTATGCCCGATGTTCTCGGACCTGTCTGAAAAAACTTGTCTCTATTCCCGATTTTGCTCCTGCATCCTAATGAGAATCCCAACGCCGATGCTGAACATACATCCGTGAAAATCCCAGCACCCTGTTCATATCAAAGAATAAATAAATAGTATATAAAAAAGCATTTTATATGTAGCTATATGCATCTCTCCCTCTCTCTCCAAGCAGGTCTCGCGCCCCAGAATGTGCGTGTTTATGTAGACATACGGTTGATGATATAAATCCTGCAGTACCCATAATAAGGAATGCACCATAATTCCCATAGTTCAGTGTCCTTAAGGTAATGTAGGATTTATATCATCAACCGTATGTATACATGTTGTTCATGTATTTATGTAGATGTGTATGTACATATGTATGTAAGTGTGAATATATATATATATATATATGTATACATATGTGTGTGTATAGATATGTATATATCACAGATACATACGCACGCAGTTGCATCGCTTGTCTTTCTGGGTCATCCTTGGTCAACCTGCCCTCTGCCCTGTGCAGTCCTTGCTGTTCCTCCTTTTTCTTGAGCTGGTGTCCTTCCTTGCCCGCTTCTTGACAGCATTGTTAACTTGAAGTCCCTTCGCAGGGTTATTGTGATTTCGAGGAAGGGTAGGTGCGTGAAAGGGAACCATCCTCATTACCAGCGCTTTCAAGATGCTCCTGCGTGTGCAAGGGGCAGTGAAGCCAGTTCGGTTCCAGGACGTAAACAACCCTTAACCGTAAACCCCTAAATCCCCTAAACCGCCAATCCCTAACTAAACCCTTACTCCCTAAACCCTTATACTCCCTGTCCCTAAACCCTAATTTCAAGGTTTCTTCTGTCGCCGATCGAGACTTCAGACACTCCGCAGCCGTGTTGTGGAGGGGCGCTTTGAGGCCGAGCTTTGTCGGTGTAGGCTTAAGGGTTGTTTTGGTTTAGGGTTTAGGGGTTTAAGGGTGGGTTTAGGGTTTAGGGTTTATGCGTTTAGGGTTTAGGGGTTTAGGGGTTTAGGGGTTTAGAGTTTAGGGGTTTAGGGGTTAGGGGTTTAGGGTTTAGCGGGTCAGAGCTTTTGCTGCTTTGCTTCCGTAGGTCCTGGCCGAGAGCCCGCCAAAGCGCTGGGCCAATCCGCTTCGGGCAGCTGCCAGGCCAGGCTCAAAAACACAAGGCTGTAAAAGTCAATAGTCATAGCAACAATAAGAATATTAGGGGAATAGTAGGAGTAGTAGTAATAGTTATTATCAATAGCAGATCCGAGTGTCCTTGTAATCTCGCCCTAGAGTGGTGAAAGCTAGCTGAAAGGTACCTGAACCAGCGCAATCACAAACAAATCTTTACATGCTGCCGAGGCTGCTATGTATTGCAAGCTGCACAATCATAGTTTGGCCAAGGGCCGTGACAGGTGCAAGGCGGCAGCGATCCTAAAGGCACAACGTCAGAACCTCTGCCCAAAATCTGAGAGGTGGCTGACGATTCCGCATCGACAATCCGCGGCGTTGCCTGCAGACACGGCAGTCGACATTCAGGCTGGTCTTTGTTTTTTCATGTTGGGGGAAGGCCTGTGCAATTTAGGGTCCGGGGTTTGAGGTTCCAAGCAAGATCTTTCATGTCCGCATGTGAAGGTGGTACCGCTGGCCAGCAGACAGGGTGCGGAGGAGCTAAAGATCTCTGCTGTACCTTGACTGCAGAAAGACTACTGGCAAGGACCATGTGAACATGAGGCAATCAAACTTTCGCACCATATGCATGCTTCCTCGTCTCGATGTCCCTGCATACCTCCGTGTGCAATGGTGTGCAAAGGTTCTCAGCAGCCGACGGCCGTGGCGAAGGGCAGAAGCAGGTCGCGCCGTCCTCAGGCCGGGCCATCAGACTGTCACAACGAAGAAGTCGTGGTTCGAGTTTCGACGAAGCTCCGCCTTCTTGGCAGGCTTCCGCCCAGAAGAATGCAGCAGTGGCCCGACATTTAAACAGTGTACGCCTCTCGCGCGTGCGAGAAAGGAATTTGTTTCCCTCGCGCAAGGCCGCAGATGGGTGCTCTCGTTCGAGAGACCTTCGGAAGGCCGGATCTGAAAGAGACCGAGGCCAGAACCGGAAGCAGGTGTTTGGCCTCTCAGGCAGCCTCAGCCATCTCAGCCTCAGCCTGAGTCGGAGCTCTTGCGTAGCAGTATTAGTATTAATATTAGTATTAGTCTTAGTACTAGTATTAGTACTATAGTTACTATAGTTAGTATTAGTATTCCTGGCACAGATCTTCGTGGCGGTGTGGGTGGCGCAGTTTGTGGCCCCGATGGCGCGCGGCCTGGGCCTTGACCAACGCATGTGGCCTGGCTGAATGGCCTACCCATAGGCTCCACAGTAGTTTCTGTTCTGGGGTTCATGTTTAGAATCCTATAAGGTAATCCCCAAAAGGAACTACTATGGAGCCTCTGGGTACACATGCCCCTGCGCTTCCGAGTTTTTACCGGTATGCGGTACGAAAGCACGGAAAGGTGCTCGATCTCTCATGCCATGCGGCAGGTTCAACAAAATGCTCGATGTGCTACACACTCGAGGCTACTTGACTGAATCGTTCTCCGTTCTTGAGCTCCAATTTGTGGCACTCCCATTTCTGAGACGTCTTGTTTTCTTCCTGAACCCGCCGCAGGCGAGCTTATGGGGAGCCGTTATATTTTTTTTTTGTCAGTTTTTTCAGGCTCGTCATGGAGCCAAGGTTACAACTTCGTTCTGCTTCTGGTTGACAGTCGCTCTGCGCGTTTGGCCGAGCGGCTCCGCGACCACTACGAGGCAACTGCAAACACGAACAGGCAGCTGAAAAGATAAGCCATGCTCTTCTTTGCTTAGCATCCTTTCATGCTCTGTATCTCGCAGAACAGAACATATGTTCTTGGCTTAGTATGGTCTGTGTTGTGTCGTCCATCGTGCTGTTGGACGGCATGTTGTCTCTGGGACCAGGCGCAGGGGTGTGTGGCAGTTCCCGAACCCAACGCAATGGGAAGCTTGGCATGCCACAACGGTCCAGAGGGGTGCTGGGTTACCGTGCAGTGCTGATTACGAGGATCCTTCCGTTGAGCGTCGATGTTTTGGGTCCGCATTCGGGTGAACTCGCTGTCCCTGTTCCTGGCATCTTCGGCGAATCTTCGGTCGTGACCAAGCTTGAGCTGCGAAGCTATGCTCTGAGGACTTGCAAATGCGATGCTTCTGAGCGTCTGCGGCAACGTCGCAGGGGCCCTAGCTTTGGAGGATCTGCTGGAGGACTTTGAGAGAGCTGACAGCGCCAGGTGCCAAAGCAGCCGACGAAAGTCGCAACGAGTCTTCTGGCGACCAGCGCTCTACGCCTGGCGCACGGCTATGCAACTTGCCATAATAGGACTCGAAAGAAGTATTCAAAGCGCGTTGCGATAGTCACTTCTCTGCTCGCATGTGAGGTTTCAGCGCCGCTTCTCCTCGAATTCGTGCAGGTTCCACCCGTGCGCTTCGAAGTCCGGGTTCCCACCCGAGAAACGGCTCGATTGCCGTTATGTCCGCTGAAATTACACAATTTTACCCTCTCGTGGAGTCCATGCCCACGAGTTCGGCGAGCCCTTCATTCTGACTTCCCACGCTCTCTGCGGACTTACAATAACCAACAGACCTTCCAGTTCTAGCCAAACCTGCTATGTGGATCAGAGCCTGGCAGGTGGTTTTGCCTGCACTGCGCAGTGGCACCTGGCAGTGTGGAAATGAAGGGCCTCTGAGGGCAGGGGGCCCATTGAGACTTTAAGCGTGAAACGTAGCCACATGGTGCTTTCGAAGCCTTTGTGCTTTCGAAGGTACTTCTGCGGGCCATGCAGGTGCTGGGCTATGTCGCCAGGTTGCAAACAAGCGTAGAAGGAAAACATATGAAAACTCAACGATTTCTCTTCGTGTTGCTTGGTCCATGCATCACTGTTGGGATTCGGATTGAACTCTTTGCTGTGCCTGGACCGTCTTGCGTCGCAGGTCTCCACTGACGCAGATGGCAAGGTTTCAGCTGTGGAGTCACAACAGCTACAGGCCTGAGTTTCTAAGGAGTGGGTACCCGGCCATGCTGTTTTCTTGATTTTGTGGGGGAAGGGGGCCGCCCAATGTCTCTCTCACTTTTTTCGTTGTTTTCGGGATAATCAGTGTTGCATCTGCAGGCGCTGGTCACACTTCTGGCTTCTGGTGGCGCCTGCGACACCCTGCTGTGCAACATCTATCAGCAGGATGGATCGTCAAACTGTCACGATTTCTGCTAATGGCCATTCATGGCGTCAGATTTAAGTCTGATCGACGGCCATACAACGTCAAACTGCGAAACGGCCAAGATAGAGTCATAGCCGCAGGAAGGTAAGTACTGGTAGTTGCAATGACTGTAAAGATGCAGAAGATTTGAGGCTGGAGAGCCAGTACCATGTTTAACAGAAATTTGTAAGTCTTGGTACGAATGGCAACATATATGAAGTTATTACCTTGTTTAACAAAGGTGGTCATAGTAGCCGTAATCGTAACCTGCCGGCGATACAGCCCTGAACACCATGAAGCACTCCAAAGCATTGTAGCGCGCAGTAAAGCACTAAACATGCTCATAGATGCCCGCCCCTAAATCCTAAACCCTAAGCCCTAGGCCCTAAACCCTAAGACCTAAACCCCAAACCGTCCCTAAACCCCTAAACCCTAAACCCCTAAACCACGAAGGCCTGGCCGCCCTTTGCTTTGAACTCGGAGAAGGCGGCCGTCTGCTTCGAGGCGAAGTAGGGGAAGTAAAGCCATGAAAGCGGAATCTTTGGGTGTGTATCGTCAAGTATTGCTACGAGATTTGGGGCTTACGGCTTTGGGGACAAGAGCTGAGTGAAGCGAGTTTAGAGGTGTTCGGGGTCTCAAAGATCGTAGGATTAGGGTTTAGGCTTTGGAACGTTTCACTTTCCCCAAAGCTGCAAAACGACCCCTCAGGCATGGCAGACGCGACCCTGGCGGGCCGAGGCCGACGCAGAGGGCACTGGGAAGCTGGGAAGTCCAAGGCCTGTTCTTGCTATTTAGGGCTTGTAGGGTTTGAGTAGGGGGGCTTTGGGGTGAGGCAGTTAGGGTTTGAATAGGGCTTTGGGGCATGTTACACTGTAAGTCGTCCAATCTATGCGGTTTTGATTTCGGCTTTGGAGACTTTGGGGTTTCCGCTATTAGGGTTGGGGTATTTAGCGTGTTTGTTTTCAGGCTTCTGCCGGCCTGCAGCTGCTGGATGGGGCCATCTTGACACCCCTCTTGACGCAGCTTGTCTGTAATATTAGGGGTCGGAAGAATCTGCAGGTGCAGTAAAAAGCCCCATGTAGTCCCTGTTGACTGGTAGCTGTGCAAAGACGAGTAGGTTTTCCGACAGCGAGATGTGGTGAGGTCGCTGGTCGTAGCTCTCCGCGCCGAAGGCTCGCGGTTTTCTGCAAGAGAGGCTGACTTCGAGCTGGTGGGTCGAAAGGTTCGTCCTTAGTTGGAGAGAAGACGATCTCCATGGAGCCACGGTGGACAAAGACTCTCGTCGCTTGCCAGCACTTGTCCCAATTTAACTTCGGGTTCGTTGCATGGCGCGCAACCTGTATGAACCATCACAAGTGCAGTTGTTCGGAGAGGTGTTGCCGAGAAGCTTCTACATTGCCTCTCTACCCCTCCCAAACAGGCTCCACCGAACTCCCCGAAAGCTTCAAGACTCGGAACCCTGCCTCCCAAGCATATTTCCGAAGCGTACCTACATGTCATGCTGCAAAAGCACAGGATCCCCCATCTGTCCTGGGCCCAGGATGGTCTCCTGAATGAGACGCTTGGAGTGGGCTCGTGCAACGAGAAAGGCCGAGTGGGTTTTCTGCCCGTAATCATCGCAGCATTCAAGTGGTCTCATAGTAATAAGAACTTGAGAAAGAACCGCAAGAGTAACACAATGAGTTCATACACTCCCACCATCCACAGAGTAAGACCATCTAATTGTACTATGAGAAGAGTGTCAGGTGTCGTGCAAATCACGGCTCCCGGAGCCTTGGCACTTCAGCGTGCCCTGGCTCATCTGGGAGATGACGAAGACACAGGGAAGGCGCCGCCTTTTTGTGGGGTGCCACCGAGGTACTTATACCTTCTTGGTGGCATCGTCATATGCCCCGATGTGCCTCGTTTGCAATCTGAGCCGGGCATGAGAGGAGAGGCTTCTGCCGCTGTTGGCTCGTCTTTGTCTCCACCAGGCTGGCAAACATGCAGCGGATTCTCTTCAAGGATCCGAGCCGAGTGTTTCCGCACCAGTGAGCGTTTGCAAATCTTGGCTGCCGCAAAGCAGGCCTTCTAGCAGCTTCGCAGGAAGTCACTCTTGCCGGGATGGCTCAAGCCGTTCTTTAAAGTCAGTACTCGTTCAGAGCCATGGGCGCAGAAGAAGACGGGGAGAGGTGCCCTTAAGATCCTCTGTCTTCTGCGAGCCGCCGTTCCTGCTTCCTTGTTCTTTGGGTGCCAGGCCAGCCAGCTCCTCGACACAGCCGGCAGCCGCCGAGTCCCATGATGGCGAGGCGCGGGCTGGGCAGTGTTCTTCGCCAAGAAGCAGCGCCTGCGCCCGTCCTTGCAGGCTGTCCTCAAAAAGCTTCACATCTTGCCCCTCAAAGAGGCGGACAAGAAGATCAAAGGCCGGGTGGTCTGAGCACTCTAAGATTACAGAGTCCTGGTGTTTCGGGTGCTGCACGGGCAGGCATTCTGCGTAAACTCCACACGTGTTGTGTCCCTGAGGCCGTCAGCGAATGGAGTTTCTTGCAGAGACGTTGCGCCAACTGCGAAGTACGAAAGCAACGGTGTGCTCTGGGGACTTGGTGAGAGTGGCTCCTACAAACAAGAAGCACCGGCTTTAGGATTTTGCAGGTGAGGTCCGGAGGCCTTGTCCTAGTCCTAGGCCTCCTAGGCAACTCGCACTTGTAAGGGTACAATACTGTAGGGGCCTGAATAATTACCAATACTATTTTGGGGGTTCCTCACCAGTACTACAATTATAGTATACTGTACCCCAAAACCCTATTCTAATGGATTCGCTTCTCGGTTGCGAGGCGAAAGAGGCGGAGTTCGTGGTCATCAAGTGCGACCCGCCTCAGGGCTGCCTGGGAATGGAGACAGATTTCTTTGTTGACGGAGCCCCGGTGATCTGCTCCTCGGGCTCAGAAAGAAGACACTGACTTGATTGGTGACATGATCTTTGATGTTTATACTTGACCTAAAAATGAGCGAGCTTAGCAGATCTTTAGTCCTTGCCTTCGCATCGTCTTCGATATCTTGCTTCGGCCCTCGCAGGCTTTCAGAAGATCCAGTTCAGCGCCTGGGGTCCCACCACGCTGAGCTCAGAGGAGCTCTTCAACAATTACGTCCGGCCATACTTCAAAGGTGAGTATTCGCCGTATGGCACGGCCGGTGTGAAGAGAGTGAGACTGCTGTACACGGGACAGGTCGTCCAGGTGCCGGTTGAACCAAATAGATTTACCGTGAAGGTGTCGGGCTAAGCAGGAGTCTGCTAAAGGAGGAAAGTGGCAAAAACGAAGCAACGACTTCGCACCCTAGTTACCTTGAACCAAGATACCACCCCTAAAGGGACCTGTGACAGACTACGGGCTTCTGTTGCAGCGCTATTTTGGTTACATAAAATCTTTACGCTGACTCTCAGGTGGGCGAGGTGTGCCTACAGGTCGAGGCAACAGAGCCCCAAGGGCTTGGAATGGTGTCCACGGATACAGAAATCTTTGCGAACTGGGACACGACTCCCGAGTTTGAGAAGGTGCATATTCTCCCCTTCATGGACACATTGCCCAGTGCCTACCAATACGAGCTGTTTGGAGATTACCTTAAGCCGTACCTGATGGCGAATCAGCACAGGAAGTACCAGCATGGTGACCTCTTCACGTATCAGGGCGTGCAGTTCAAAGTTGTAGCTTGTGAGCCCGATGTGGTTGCTCGAATCGGGAAGAGTACTACCATCTTCTGCCAGGGGCACCTGACCCCGACGTTGCGAAACCTTTTGCCCCCGCACTTGATGAACCAGGTGGCGCAGCTGCCGCAAGGCCTGCAGATGCTCCTGCTTAGCTCCGAGCGCACCACCAGGGAGCTCGAAGACATGCTGAACCATCGGCGAGGGCTCTTCCCCCAAACCATCGAAGAAATCGAATCCTTCACATGGCCCCCACCTCCACCACCCGCTGGAGTTCCCGAGAGACCACAGACTACGTGTATGATTTGCCTCGAAGAGTTTGAATTGGGAGATAAATGCCGACGTCTTCCTTGTGGCCACGTCTTCCATGAGAATTGCATCGATGAATGGTTGAAGAGATGCACCGACTGCCCAATTTGCAAGGCAAATGTTGACCGTGCAATTCGAAATTACTGAACTCGCCACCTTGGCGTCCTGCTAGATTCAACCGCACACCTTTCGGCCAAAAAGAGTCCCAGAAGCATCAGCTTTGCTGTGTTCAAGTGTAGCAAGGCATGAGGCAATCTGCCACTCCTTTCACAGGATGCCGCGTGGGCCTTTGGCGAGTCGTCGCCCAAAGCTGAGGCAGGGCACTCTGTGGACACTCTTGCCGACAGATGACGCTGCTGGCACGCGCAACTACTGCTGCTACGACTGCTGCTGTTGCTGCTTGTCAGGTGACACCTACTAAAGCGAAACGGCAAGAGCAATTTTCATGACTCTTACTGTTGTTGGTAGAGGCTGAATCGAGCAACTGATTGCAGCTGCGGTTCTCGAAGCAGGTCCACGTGGATCGCACATTGAATGTGATGGGAAGCGGCTTGCAACACAAGGCCGGAGCTAACTTACAGTTCAATGCGCATCTACTCCGTGTGACTGTTCAACAGCGCCATATCTAGCTAAGTAGCCAGTGGATTACTCCCGTTGTCTTCACCGTGACCACCATGATCATCAACTCCTTTCTGCTTCTCAGCTGATTGTCTGTAAGGTTTTCTTCCGCGACTTCCTCGAGCTCATACGACCACTCTTTGCCACGAGTGACTTCGCCGAGCAGCCGCGATACGTGGCCGACACAGGCAGTCGAGTCTCCCGCTGCGGGATGGCATACCGCAGTGCAACGCCAGGTACGCATAGATAATGTTCTTGCGTGCCCATAAATGAATGTGTGTGTATATATATATATATATATATATATTTGTAGATATGCTTATGTAACTATGTGTGTATGTATGTATGTATGTATGTATGTATGTATGTATGTACTTAATAATGATTCACATTGCTTTTCTGTAATATTTGTATATATACACACACACACCCATATTCACCCGCGGACACACCTTCCCACCTTTCTCCCCAGAAGAGCCGGCAGAATTTGGCGAGCAACCCGAAAGGCCATGAAGGCCCCAAAGGCTCTGCGGAAGACCGGACCTTAGAACCTAAAGCTTAAGCATCCCCTCACAGTCAATCCTGAGTATAATCCAAGTGCCCTCTCACAGGATGTGGTGATGGCAGCCTCCTGTGCCAGATCTACGAGTTTGTCAAGCTGCAGCTTGGCAGGTCTTAGATGGGGTGGCAAGGAAGCGTGCCTGTTGCGGTTTAGGGTTCCGGGTTTGGGGTGTGCGGATACCGAGGGGTTCTGCGAGCGACTTAGGCACACTCCACGTGGACGAGCATTGAAGGAGTTCCCCTTGACGATGATTGGCATCGACTTGCCGCTCGATCTTTGATCGTATGCTCCAGCAAACAATGGTGTTGCCCAGCCAGAGAGATAGTTGGTGTTCGGGCGTCGGGGGAATGAGTAGTTGGTGTTCGGAGAATGTCGGGAATGAGTAGTTGATGTTTGGGGCGGGCCGGGTGGAATGAGTAGTTGGTGTTCGGCGCCCGAGGGAATGAATAGTGGTGTTCCGGGGAATGAGTAGTCGGGAGCACAGTCTTAGATTTTTCTCCACTTCAATAACTTGTATGCTTTGCTCGTTTCGCTTGCCGAGGAGTGCCAGCGCTCTTGCTGCAACAGCAAGCACGCTCCGGGCAAGGTGCGGCAGCATCCGAGCCATGCATAGGTCCCGTTAAATCTCGTTAAGTCGTTACGCTTCAGCTCTCATGGGGTTAAGTTCCAGCTTCTATGCTTCTGGTATGCAGAAGGCGAAGAATCTTAATTTTGCAAGAAAATGACAGAACATGCCAAAGCTCATCAACTTGCGTTCATGCCACAATCCAGAGAGTGCAGTTGACTTGCATTGCCAAATCAACCTGCGCCGCAACTACTTAGTTGCGACAGGTAAAGTATGCACGACCTACGTCAGAAAGTCTGGTTGGCTTGGAAATGCCTTGAACTTCGGTCTACTAGGAACCCAGCGAGTCAATGGAGTTCTCTAGACATCGGCTTGACATGTGAGTCATACGTCACATATCAGACTAAGCTCCGCCAGGGGTGTGCCCCATCAGCTGTTGGAGGGTGACATCGGAGATCCAGGCAGCGCGAGCACACAGCAGCAAGCAGATTGATGTGCTCCATTCTAGGTACAGAGACCCCTTGACATCACTTCGGGGACACATTCTTGCCCTGTTCTTCGGGCGTGCTTCAGGTGGCCTTTGCAACGAGCTGCGGCGCTTGAACCTGGATCCGAGGCAAAGGAAACTTTTGAGTAGGTGGTGATGTTCGTTCGGGTTACTGCAGGGTCCTGCGCTTGATAAGTTGTCAGTAGAAGTCTCAGAAGCATCAGCAATCTTGGCTGCGAGAACTGCGGCTGAATCCTGATCATTTCTAAGCACCAATGACCAATCCTCAGGCTCACCATAGTGCGAACGCAAGTCGTAGCATCTTGGCTAAAACAACCCGAATCCCGAGCCCCTAAACTTGATTACCCTCGAAGGCAGACGCTGCATGTGCGCTCCTTCCTGGACCACGATCGACCCTTCCGGGAGCCGGCCCATCCTCTTCGAGCAGGCCTAAAGGGAGGCGTAGTACTCGCTTGTCCTGTGCTGTCTTCTTGTCATTATGGGTACATAGTGCATACCGCTGTATCGTATCTTGTTGTGGATCGTTATATCTGTATGGTTCTGTATGTAAGTACATGTACAGAAAGAACTCAGCACAAGACTATCATATGTCCGTTCATTTTGATTTTGAGCATTACGTGTTCTGTTATAGTCGCTATTTGGTATCTTACAGTAAGCACAATTCGGGCGAGTGGCGGAGTTCCTCGCAAGGCAGCTCCCGCGACCTCTTCGTGGCGCATCACTTCGACCAGGCCTTTTGGCCATCGGGTTGCCTTCTGCTCTTCTTGCTCGGCCTTTGAGATTATTTTGCCGGATAGAGGTAGTGGTAGTAGCAGTAGTAGTAGTAGTAGTGGTAGTAGTAGTAGTAGTAGTAGTAGGAGTAGGTTGGTTAAAATGGACCAGAAGCCATCCTACTGCAAGCCGGATGTAGACCAGATTTGCTTGTGTCTGCTTGGGAGGCGGTCTACCTAGACCGTAGCGGCAAGGTGATCCAGCCGGTGGACACTTCGCCGCACAAAGCAGACTCTGCGCCATGAGCGCGAGAGCTTCGGGTGTTTCAAAGCCCCACAAGAGCCAACTAGGAGCTAGACCTAGCCTGACTCGGGAATGCGCCTGTGAGTCACCAGGATATCTACCAATCTCTGGTGGAGCACTTCGGACGCTGGGCAGATGCTTCTGGTGAGCATGGTCTCTGCATTCTGGAGGCTCGGGGTGGAGTTTTCCGTTGGGCAGCAAGGAGAGCATCAAAACTACGTGGACCGTGACTATGCGTGCACTATACTGGCTTGCAGATGCTTGTGGTAGTTCACATAATAACGTTACCCTCCTCCCCGCTCGACTGTAATGTAACATACCATCGCCTGAGTGGAGACCCACCGCTGCTCTGTTGTTCTTGCAGGCCATGCTGCTGGACGTACCCAGCACTGCAAAGTACTTTGATGAGAACGTGCCTCGAGTGACACTGCAGTCTGTATGTCGGTGCATGTCTTTTGTTCTGCTTGACGGCCGCTGTAGCATCTTGTTTAGAGTCTCAAGTGGGACAACGGGCGCAAGCCCCCCAGCAGGTGTCCTTCCACTTTGACATTGAGGCGGCTCTGTCGAGGCGTGCGGGTCCAGTTTGCATCAGGAGGGCCCATTCGTTTGCACAGATCAGCATTCTGATTTTGGAAGCCTTTCTTAGTCTAGGCATCAAAGGATCAACCCCCATCCCGGCTCCAGGCAGTATTTGGTTCCTCCCGTTGCCAACTGCTTGGCCTTGGCGGAAGCAGGCGCAGCGTTGAGTGCCGTTCCGCGATTTGGGCCAGTGCCGGTGCTCTGTGCTTCTGCAGGCCTGTTCAGTTGCACCAGTGATGCAAGCTCACACTGCTACCCTGCACCTCAGCCGCAGAAGAGGGATTTGCCGCCTTCGGTGTTGTCGTCGAACAAGATCTGAACCGTGGCCGTTGCGATGTCGCGGCACTACATTGGATGCACAGTGCTGCTTCTGAATTTCTAAGGAATCTGGCGAGTACTGCCGCATCATGAGTCAGCATGTCAAGAGGCTCGTGGCAGCGAGACATCCATGTCAGAGCATTCGTCGTCCATTTTAGACATGTCTCCGCCCACATGAGCGCCTGTCGATGTATTCCTTCCTCCAACTTAGGGTCTCCAGTTCTCAAGGCCCGCCCAAGCCGTTTCAGTCGCTGGCTTGCCCTTCACTCGCTCCGTCCTTTCCGCCATACTTTCCATCTTACGCTGCTTGCACGCACTTCCTTATGAATATTCGAATCTCGGTGCCCGGAGCATGTCTTCATCTAACGGTGGTAGCACGATCGGAACGCAAATGACAACATGACCTAGTAGTCGCAATGCATGCAGCACCAATATTAGCGGCAATTTTCGTCATGCTCGCTGTGCTGTGTAACGGCAGGTCCTCCTTCTCCGTGCGCCTGGCCGAGTTTGATGATTTGGCCGGCTTGGTCCAACTCCAGCAAGAGGCGAAGGTGCGACACATTCCATGCAGAGAGCTCAATACCCCATGCCATACAGGAATGCACCATCGACTGGTGTATGGAGGAGGGCTTCCTACTATGATTGTAGTAACATTCCTCACGCGTCGGGCATTGGACTCTCTGTGCATCTGGAGTGCTGCATTGAAGCCCAAGTTTTCCTTCGCTGCCGGAGGTCACGTCAGCCTTGGAGGCGATGGGTCTTTCGCTCGTGTGAGTCGCAGGAAGTTTTTTCGTGATTCGACAATGGCTATATACAAGTTTGTTCACGTCAAATCAGATCACGTGCTGGACATACAGGTTACATAGAGTTGCATACAGCAAACGCAGTCCTAAGCTAAAACATTTTCAAGCATGATCTTGTGTGGACATCGCCGCATGTCTGAGCCCTAAACCCTAAAAGCCTAAACCCTAAACCTCCATACCAGGAACCCCTGAACCGTGTAGAAAAGAGGCTTCTCCGGAGACGCTGGCCGCGCGCCTCCTCAAAGCGCCCCTTGGCGTACTCGTCGCGGAGCGCGCGGGGAAGCTGCTTGGGGCCTCTCGGTGGATTTAGGGTTTCGGGTTTGGTTTAGGGATTAGGGTTCAGGGTTCGGGGTTCCATGGTTTTAGGATTTGGATTAGGGATCAGCAGGGTTTAGGGAGCAGCAGGGCTTAGGGTTTTGGGATTGGCATCCGCCGTTGAAGAAGAGACAGCGGATGCATGACAGTGATTGTAGAACCACTACTGAAATTCATAGCAGCATGTGTAAGGTTCTTGCTAACGGTACCCATACATGTACTTCGCTAGACAGTCCAGGGCTATGAGTCGTAGCAGCAAAAGCTTTGGCAATTCTCGTTGGTAAGATATGGATCAAGTGATCAGGTCAGGTGCGTGATGAAGCTGTGTACGTACGGTTTAGGGTTTAGGGTTTAGGGCTACAAGTCCAGGCAGCCTACACGACTCGCCGCCTTGGCCCTGCCACAAGCGGAATCGAAGCTGAGCCTTCGCAGCCCAGTGCTGATCATGGCGACGTGCTGCTCGGAGGAAAAGTCCCGTGAGCTCTTGGCCCAAAAAAGCGGAAACACGGCCGAGGCTGCAACTCGTCGCGCTGCATGCCCTTCCGGAGGCGGGCTCTTCACATTGTCTGTGAAGCTCCATGTAGATGTCATGGTTCCCCGCTGGGGGAATGCTTCCAGGCGCCTGGAGTCGGCTCGCTGCCACCCGGACGAAACTGCGTTTTGCGAATTGGATACTGTTTCTGGAATTTCTGCAACAGAGCTCCAAACGAGTTAAACATGATACCAGGCAACTGCTTTTGGCACCAGGTTGCGTGACTTTCTTCTCCAGCTGGCTTGGGTCGACCCGGATGACGCTCTTCTGCATATGGTTCCCAAGAACCTTCTATGTGCTTCCTCCGACTGCGGTTCCTCCAGAAGAAAACTACAGGGCCCAGTGTGCAAGCTGCTGCATTGGCTGGACATTCTTCCGATAAACCGTCGCCATGTTTTCACTTTCAAACCGGCGTTCCTGCAGCATGGCCATTGGTGAGGCTCCTGACGCATGACCCTAAACCCTGAAGAGATGGGACGATTAACGAAAGCCGAAGCCCCTAAGACCTTAAATGGTAAGCAGCAGACCCCCAACCCTGATCCTAAACCGGCAAGGTGAAGTCTGTTGTGGGGCTGACGCGCTTCGATGGTTGGGCAGCCAGCGGCTTGAGCCGCTCAATTCCACTCGCTTTGCATGAGGATTTCCCTTTTGTCATGCTGTTGCAACCGAGGTCAGGAAGACTACATCAGGCGGACGTGTCGGGGTATTCCAACAAGAGAGTGTTGGCGTGGTGCAGTCGCCTTTGCACACTCGGCGTGCGCATCGCAGGAGGCATCTCGAAGGCGAAGTTTCGGACAAGGCCGGAGGAGGATGGTCTTTGTGCGTGTGCGCGCGTCTCGAGCTGCTACTACAACTGTACTCCTCCTGCTGCCGCAGTGCTACTACTCCTACCGCTGCTACTAGCTGCTGCTACTGCTACCGCTGCTACTGTACTATGCTTCCATGACGACTACTGCCTTTGCGACGGCAGGATGCAAGTGAATGGAGTGGGTTTGCCGTCCCCGCACGCACGCCAGCTGTGTACATAATATATATATATATATATATATATATATATATATAGACATATAGATATATAGACATAGGTATAGGTATAAGGTATAAAAGTACACACATGAATTTTGTGTATACATATAGACGCAGGCATAGTTGAAGGAAGCAGGTATGGGGTTTGTTCTCGATCTCGCCTTTGCCGCTGACAGGTTCTGGCGTTTCACACCCAGCGTGGGGCCACGATCGTCAAGCTGGTCCATGACGCTCGCCCGACGGACGTGGCAAACCAAGGCCAGAAAGCTTAACACAGCGGATTAACGGATGTTGGTTGAATCGGAGCGTATCGAGCACCCTGTTCCACAGTCTTCATTCGGAGCTTGGCTGTCTGCCTGTGACCCGTCAGGTGCTGCCGTACTCATTCGCTACGAGCCGGGCAGGTAGCAGCTCATGGTGCCAAGTGGTTTTCTTCTTGCACTTTTGACATGACTGTGGTTACGATATTGTTTCCAGTCCTGTTCGTTGGCTGACACAGTCCTGCGGGTGTCAGAGGCCTCAACGGGACCACCGCGTCGCATCTCGAGAAAGCCAGGATGCTCCGGTTGCAGATTGTGATTGCTAAACTCTGCCAGACTCTGAACTCCATAGCCAAATCGGAGCAGTAATAAGAATAGTTGGACTCATCATACCAGTAGTACAGGATGACGATGATGAGCGTGATGACAGTGTTGAAGACTAAATTGTGACGACGAGGGCAACACCGATGTCGATAAAAATGACGGTGACGACGACGAGGATGATGATGATGGTTATGATGATCACGGTGATGATGATGCTGGTGATAGCAGCGACACTTTGCAGGCATCAACATTTCCGGAAATAGCCACATAGCAGTCCTTGCAATACATAATATGCTACCTTATGTCATAGCAGCCATAGCAAACAGTGTGGTGGCTGCCGTATATTCAAAGTATAGCTCCCAAGAATGATGCAGCCTTTTCTCTTGAAGCTCCCCGTCTGCTTCTGCTTAGGGGACCCAAGTAAAAGCCACGAGAAGCGTAAGGGTCTTTGAGCGCGGCAAGCCGTCAAGGCCACTGCTGTAACAACCGGCACAGCATCAATAGTGAGGACAATGAGTCTCGCAATGGTATTCATGCCGATAACGTTGTTGTCGTGGTACTGCTGAATATATTTTTCGGAAAGCGACAGAAATAGAAAAACTGTTGGAGGGGGCTGGCAGGAAGCCACGGTCGACACGGTGGAAGCCTTCATCCACGAGCAGCTGGCCAAAATGAACATCCAGCTGAAGGCTGTTCGGGTCCGGAATTTGGGGGTCTGGGGCCAGTAAAGTTCAGCTTAACGTTTTTCTTGGTTGTGTGCTCAGACTGAGCTTGGATATTGTGTTTGTTGGGCTTTGAGGTCAAGGTACGGCAGACCCTGCAGGTCAAAGCACCTAAACCCTAAACCCTAAACAAAACCCTAAACCCCCAAATCCCTAAACCCTAAACCGGAAAGCATAAGCCAGGATGCCGACTTCGCGGAGCTGGGCCTCGACTCACTGGAGCTTGCAGCATTGCGGCGCAGCGTCGAGTAACTCCGATGAAGCATATGGGAGTTTCCCACAAATAGGGGTACCTTATTTTGGGGAACCTGATGATAAGAGGATCTTGCTGTTGAGGGTACTATATTAGGGTCCCCTATTTTCGGAAACTCCCCTTTGGATGGTTGTCAAAGTTATGGTCCCTCTTTGGGTACCCTAAATATTAAGTGCCGTACTATATTAGGGACCCAAAAAAGACCATAATTTTGACAACTACCCATATGGGTGCTTACCTAATATCTAGGATACCCAAAAAGGGGCCCTAATTTTGACAACTACCCATATTGCGACCATTGTGGGTATCGTTGATTCTGTCTCGTCAGTGTTGTTGCAAACATCCTAGACTGAACTGAACGGTTATTGTCCTGCATCTACTCATGCGTTGTTGCTTTAGGACTGCTGTGAATTTTCGATGCCGAAAGTGTGGATTCGCCTTCTCAGAGGCGTCGGTTCGGCTTCCGTGGAGATGCGGCGGCTGCGACCGCTCGCGAGCTGGCCGCATCCTGCTTTCGAGGCAGGGCTTTGGGGCGTTTTAGGGCACGTAGGGTTTTCGGGTTTAGGGCTTAGGCTTTGGGTTTTGTGTTGGGGTTCAGAGTTTCGTGCGCGAAACGGTGGCATGTCAGGTGGCTCGAATCTGCAGCGCACAGATGCGCGAGCGGTGGTGGAGTCCTTTCTGCTGGACTTTGGTGAAGCAGACAGCCAGGACGCGTGTCAGCAAGTCATGCCCGGTGCACCAAGCATTCTTCCGGCGAAGATAGTGCCAACCCAGTCGGCTTCGCTGGCAGAGATGGGCCTGGATTCGCTGGACATAGCTCCTCGGACTTAGCAAGACGTGCGGATGAGGTCCCTTCAAGAGTTTGCGGCAAAGCTAACCGTGGTCGCGAAAAGGCTCGGCTGCGGGAGCGGCTGCAAGCTCGCCTGTCCGTGCAGCTCAGCGTGGAGGAGTGCTTTTGTGTAGGCGAAGCCACTGCTATAGGCCTTTGGAGACCTCGCGATTCGATGCCAGAAGCACACCGTGGTGCTAATCTGCAGAGTGAGGTTCAAGTCTGCACTCTATCAGTCAATTGCAGACGATTCACCAGTCCAGCTATTCTCACCAAGACACGACAGGCATGACCGACAGCAAGGAAATTCGACTAGTAGTTGCCATGGCGCGCCGTCGCGTTGTTGGAGCTGCCGTGGTCGCGGCAATGTACTCCGGCAGCAGAGCCTGAAGTCGGAATCGCTGGCAGGACCAATGGGAAGAAGAAGGGAGTAAACGCCCCAAGCAGTGGGCAAAAGAAGATATGAGCACAGCAAAGAGCAGAACAGGCGTTCACCTTTCCTTTTGTGGAGCAATGAAGCCTCTAGAGGCACGTCGTCACTGTTTTCCGATCCGAAAGACAGAGTGCCCTGACTAGAGAAAGGCTACGAACTTTGGAGTCAGATCGCTTGATATCGCTTGCGACCCCTATAAAACACTAGAGTGGACTATGATATACTATAATATACTATAGTCTACTATAATATACTATACTATACTATACTATACTACAATATACTACTAGAACAAGCAACACTGAACCGGAAGCCCGATCTGCGACCTGAGGCTGGGAATCTTCATGGGCCTTGGCAAGTCGAGGCGCGGGGCCTGGACCCCCAAATCCCCAAGCCTTCGGGTTTAGGGTTTAGGGTTTGGGTTTAGGGTTTAGGGTTTGGCTTTAGGGTTTAGGGTTTGGGTTTAGGGTTTAGGGTTTAGGGATTCTGAGCCCCAAACCACAAGACTCCCCCAAAATTCTGAACGGTGTACCATCCTGCACCCCTCGACCCCTTAAGGCTGTAGGCCCCTATATCTGCCAGAGGCAAAGTAGCAGAATCTGATTTTCAGGCTCGCCCTCGTCGAGCTGACAGCCATGGATGCCCGGCTTCAGTGGGAAGCTTTCGGATACTTGAAGTTCCTGGCTTAGATTCAGCTGTTGGGGACCAGGCCTTTGGGTGGTGCTGCAAAGGTGTTTCTGAACACATCTCATTTCTGGAAAGGCAACTGTGTCTTTGAGCTTGCCTGTCACAGCGTTACAGAGGGTATCTATGTGCGATCTGCTCAGGACCGCAAACTCGATTTGAAGCGCTTTATGGGGTCCTGGTATGTACTTGCGTCTTTGCTGCAAACAGCGCACACAAGATATTGCACTCAACAGCGCTTCCGTGTTGAGGGCCCCCAAAACCGAGTGAAGCAGAGATTGCATCTCTCGTAGATTCGCTCTTGGCCATTTCAGCTGCCAGGCCCACATCCCTGTCAAGCTCGTAAATGCATCTCGGCTTCAGACTGCAGCCCACCCTGTGACAAGGAACCCCAAAACCCCACACTCTGTTGTTTGGGATGCGCATTCTGCCGGAGAACCAGGAGGAGCGTAGAGGACTTTCCTTTGAACCTACATCGAAAGGGACGTGGATGTGTCACACGGCACCGTCGGACATGCTCACTTGCAAGTGTTTGCCTACACCCTGAGCCACAAACTTCGAATCCCTGAACCCTGGGGCCTAGAAAGGCTAACACCTTCTGCACACTGAGGAGCACCTGGCTCACAATGCCGTGGAAACGTACACTTGGGATGAGTCGAAGCAGCGCATTGGGGTCCATTACAGGCTTCGCGACGAAATTCAGCCCTCTGAGAGGCATACCGGTACACAAAAGCATAGAGTCCTAAATATGTTGTACAAGGTTGAGGTACATAAATCCCGACGTAAATTTGATATAATGAAAACCAAATATGTATTACGTATGTACGGATGGATGGATTGATGTGACGTGATGTGACGTGATGCAATGTAACGGCATGGCATGGCATGGCATGGTTTGGTACGTTTTGGTATGGTTCGGTATTGTTTGGTACGGCATGGTTTAGTATGGTGTGGCATTGTTCGGTGTGGTATGGCATGGTATGGTAGCTGTAGGTCAAGACTAGCAACCCCCAAAGGAAGCAAAGCATAGCCAAAGTCTGACTCTAGCTGATCCGGCGAGGTTCAATGAGAAAAGCATGGACGGCCGCATCAATGACAGTTACCAACGCGGCTGGGTCTGGAACAAGGTGCATAGCAAAGGGGCAGACGCCTCTCACGCAGGTTTGAGCGCACACTCATGCTCGTCCATGTAACGAGTTCTCCCAGCCAGGAGACAAGTGCGGAGTGGCGGGTCTCGCCCAAATTGCCGTTGTTTGGCTACCTATTTAGCTACTGCGGGCTGAAGCTTCCGTACATCATCGTGGACTGCGCAGACGACTACAGCAAGGACAGGACTGTGCACTCGGCCACACTGCCATGACAGACCCAATGTGACTGGTGCTCGACTGATCTGTTCGTGTCCGTCAGGCCATAGTCGGCTATCCCAATCGTGCCTACCTGTGGATTCTCGGCCATGTATCAAATTTTCTACTCTTCAGCAAACTGTCCCTTGCTGTCCATATGTTCGTCCAGGCGCCCGTTAAGTTTGTCTTGTGTCTTCGTTTTTCTGTGGCCTTGCCTGGTTCAAATTGCAAGATTCGAGCAGGGGCTCTCTAAAGCAGAGCCCCTTAAAAAGGTCTTTGCGTGCTGGATCCGAGAGGCACCTACCTCCTTCTTTGGAGAACTCATTTCTGAATCCCAAGGATTTTGAGCCGCAAGCCCACGGTCTCTGACGCAGACTACGAGAAGCTGATACAGAAGTCCAAAGAGCTGGGAGACTTGGCCGGAGATATTTTCATAGAGCAAGCATCAGAAGTAGTAATACTAAGAATGAATAAGGATAGTTCCTGTAACGCCGCAGATAAAGCCACATGAATCTCGGCAATGTAAGCAATCGCTGCAAATATGTTCATAAAATGACTTCATTTACGATTTAATATTGAATATCCTCGAAGATTGCCAAGTAGGTTGCTCAGTGCAGGCAAGATCCTTGCGCGGGTCACAATCGCAAGTCCGTATTGGCACGCGGATTCACACAGAACACAGCGAAATTTGTTTACGCCTGCTCATCATATTCTGAATGCCTTCGTTCTCTGCTTGCAGGATACGATGAAGACAAGATTCGGAAGGTGCCGCAAACGGACGGTGCAGAGGCTTTTGAAGCGCCCAGCTAGTCGAGAGATCAAAACAGCGTGCTTTGCCCAGCTCCGTATTCATGTGCCCCTGTGAATGCCGCCTGCGTGCTGCATCCCAAAACCCTAACACCCCCAGAACCCCACAGAGCCTAACCCCATGATCCTGAACCCCAGCACCCTGAAGCCATTTGGGATTCTGCCATGTGGTCAGTTTGCTCGGAGATGCATGCTAGGAGTTGGCGGCTGCAGCAAATGTGGACAGCATCATCGAGGTGGGGGTTTTGGCTTTACTGGTTTAGGGTTTAGGCATGGATGGGAGGGTCTTCTTTGGGTTTCTTTTGCATGCAGCTTGGCATTTGGATGCAAACTTCCAGCTCACATGGCCGTCATTGACTTAGTTGCCTCGAGCAGGCAGTCCGCGCGAAGATGCAAACAGCCGCGGCGTGACAATTTTCCGCAGAGCAGAAGGAAAATCGGCCACAGAAGCCCACCGTTCAGTTCCGATGTCCTTCTGCGAGCTGTGTTCCCACAAATTCCACGTCCTGTGTGCATAGACTCGCCTAGCCATTGTGTCATAGGGTCTGAAGGTTTGCATAGCAGGTAGAATTCGGAGGATCACAGGGTGTCCTTAAGGTGCGCATCCTCTTCCCCAACAAGCCTGCTGGGCTCCCAGCGCTCACTGGTGCTGGCTTGTGCCAGTCTATGTCGTGCGAATGATCGTTTAGCATTGAGCAGATGAGACTCTGACATTGTCCAGACATACTCAATCTGAACCGCGAACCCCACTCCCCTAGCCCAACACCCCGCACCCTAATGCCTAATAGATCTTAATAGCTTAATAGCCTCTAAAGCCACCCCTTAACCCTATCGCAAGAACTGGGAAAGATATTTTTGAGGACATGCTCCGAGCGCGCGACATCCACTACGACAAGTGGCCCCGGCCTCCGAGGGAATGCCGGGTTTTAGCACTGGAGCCTTTTAGGGTTCCCCCTTTAAAGGGACCTCTATGGGCTCCCTTTAAAAGGGAGTCGTTAAGAGTGGGTATGAGGGTTTTAGTACATGGGGCCCTTAACGGTTTCCTTCCATGCAGGCCTTTAGAAGTTAGTATCAGGATGTATCAGGGTTTTAGTATAGGGGCATGAAGAATTACTACAGCTAAACCGACAAAGGATTGCACTTCGTCTGTTGTGCTGCACCGTGTAATGGAAGACTGTAGTAGACTGTCATATCACAAACACCGATATTCCAGAGTACAGTGTGGTACACTGTGCTACAGTATGCGTTGCGACTCTATGCTCTGATGTACTATACTGTGCTGGGATTCCGGTAGCCCACAATCGTTGTGGGCCTTCCACGTGTTGGGCAGGTCAAGTTTGTAATTCAGGATCCTGAATGGTTAGAATACTGTTTGGGGCCCATTATAATTATACTATAATTATAACAGGGAGCCCCCAAAAATAGTACTAGTATTGATTTCGGCTCCTATATTCACGCCTGTGGCATGTAAGGCGACTTGCCAGGCTCTTCCCTGCAGCATTTTGGTTTGCCAGCCCGCGTGCTTTCGGCCTGTCTTCTCATAGCAGCTCCAGCTATGCAGGCCTGCAGGAACCCCTAATTGAGGGAACCTATAAGTGGAAGCTCTACACTGCATGTTTATAGTCCTTTGCTTCTGCGATTTCAACCTTCCTCACGGGGGCGTGTGTCTCAGTCTGCATAGAGTCTGAGTGGCTGTTCAACTATTCCAGGCTGACCGGTTCCGTTAGTGACCCACTTTACTGTTTCGAAGAGAGAAGCCGAACCCATGCGATCCGACGTGCACCCTAGTTTCGCCCTGAGTCGTGCTGAGAGCTGGTATATTCGTGCACATTGTTCCTCATGACACCCCACAGAGCTGTCTACTGTCAGGTCGCTGAAGTTTGAAACTCGAAACTGTAGCTGTGGCTCTCCAAGAAAAGCGACGATCGCGTCTGTGCAAAATGCCACGGCATGCAAGTTGGCTCTGGGGATGGGATCGATGTTTGAGGATCTTATGTTTCAGTAGCATGGCGGCATATACAAGTCTGTAATATTCTCGTTGCAAGTGCTGTCGTCAAGCCTTGCCGTCGGTATTCTATTCAGTGTTGCCTCCTGGTCTGTTGTGCAATGAGAATGCATGTGGCCTCTCACGCAGGCGATTCCTGGCTGCAAGACTACCTACGAGGTCCTCAAGGAGGGCTCTGGCGCCGCCGGAGCCCCACTGCGGTTCTGTTAATGAGTGCGGTTGCAATGCTTGCTGTCATTGTCCTTGGCCCTCGCTTTCTGAGTGATCATTGTTAGGAGTGCCGTGATGATCAGTATTGGTGCTATTGAGTGTGTTACCCTCATTGGGATCAATAGCCCGGCCCGCCAAGTAGTAGAAAAACCCTAAATCCTAAACTCCTAAAACCCCTAAAACCCCAAAACTCCAAAACCCTAAAACCCTAAAACAGTCTCCATCAGGTCATCCAGGCCCGCAGCAATGCGACGGTGCATGCGACCGGCGTGGTGAAAGAGCCACTGGGAGCAAGATCTGTTGGTCTTTTCCGGGGCCTCTTCCATCCCAGCTTCTGCACGGTCTACGTGCCTGCAGCCGACTTCTTCTGTAAATCTCAGGGCATGTACGATGCAGTCAATTGAATGAGGTCAGGCAAGAAGTTTTGGAGCACCAAAGATCCTGGACAGCAGCCGTTCTCATACCAGGCGCACGGCGGCAAGTGATTGAAGTGGTCCTGAGCACGGAAGGAGCCCGCGACACTTTCTTCGAATCGTTTGTTTCAGCTTGGACTGTTGTGTCAGGCTGGAGTGGGAAAGGCGCGGGGCTCAGCAGAAGCGGTCACCCTGGACCCTTGCTGTACAGTGTGGTGTATATCACCAGCAGCCGATTTGCACGGCAAACCTTTGCAACACAACTACCGCTACCCCTAAACCTCTTAAACCTCCTCAAACCCCATTCAAGCCCCAACACAGACAAAACAAAAACGTACCCCACCATACTTCTAGCACGTTGCTCTTGAATTCCATGTGCTTGAGGTGATCAAAGGCTGGGACCAGGGCTGCCTTGGAATGAAGGTCGGCGAGGCCATGGAACAAGAGTTTTATGATCAACCTCGGAACTATTGGGTGTTTAGCAGCATTTGAACAGGTTTGGGTTTTATAGCGCATTATATTAAAGGGGGTTTACAGAGTCTTGTCAGGGTACTCTTTGGGCACAGGCCTGCAACGAGCTTCTCTGAGCTTCGTTGATCTTCGTTGGTGTCGGGGGCATAATTCCTGTCGTGATGGTGATCGCAGAATCCCGCAGCAGAAGGAAGCTCGCCTTTGAGGCAGTCTTGGCGGCTCAGTTTTTTTCCGAAATTGACGTGCACCCCCCCAGCTCGTGTGCAGGAGAGGAAGCTGATCATCCCGGCAGACGAGGCGTGCACGGATTCGGGATCACAGCATAATCTGAACCCCTGAAGTAATAAACCTCTCGCCATAACGCTACACTGCACACCTAGACCGCGTAAACCTCCAAGTCAAAAGCTGCAGAATATCAACTTGTCCTTCCGACGTTGCGAGGGCTACGGGGCCTCCGGCTTTCCGGCTTGGGGCATCCCACCAGGTGGCACCCTCGCCGCTCAGAAAGACATTCGTGGTTTAGGGATTGGGGTCAGACTCATGGGGGAGGAATGGAGTTTTCACCTCACTCCGGCCATCTGACTGCGCACCAGGTTGTCGTGTCAGTCACAGCCCTCTAATCGGGCACGTTCTGGTCGGTTGTCTAGCACACATAGGTGCCGACGGTGTTAATGACGATCCGAGGAATTCACGCTGGAGTGCCTCAAGGTTGTGGCTGTTTGTGGGGCGCAGACAGATGCTGCATAAGGGACTGCCAGTCAGGGACTCTATCAGGAAGGTTTCGATGCTTCAGGGCTTCGTGTTGGATGCAGACGGCATTCTTGTTCATTGGTCGAGAATAGCCGCGAGTGTGCATCACCTTCCGGTTCTCGCTCGCAGGTGGAGTGAGATGGCAGGGGTCACGCTGACAAGCGCAGGATACTGAATACCCGTAGCTAAGAGGTAGTGGACCCTGTCAGACCCAGACAGTCTCGGCAGGGTCCTTAGGTCCGGACAGTATACTCCTGGGCAGATTGTGGAGAGATGTCCACGAGATGCTCATCTCTTGTAACTTTTGTTCCCACATGCGATCTGCGTGCAAAAAAAGGAGCAGATCAAAAGCTTGAAGCCCTAAAACCCTGAAGCCTGGATTCCACAGGCTGCCTTCAACTTGACGGATTCTGAAAGGGACGAACGACAAGAGGGCTCTCTGGTGTCCCAGGCGCAAAATGGAGCGCCCGGAATTGCTGCGTCGAGGATACTACAATGAGGTTGGGCAGTGTTGCTGCTACTATCTCTTCAGCTTGCATAGCTTTGAGTAAGTGATAGCGTTTCGGAATAGATATTCAGGAAATATGTGAGACTTGTGTATACATGTGTGTGTATATATATGTACTGACTTCCATATACACCCGGACGTACGTGTATATATTTATGATATGTATGTACACATACCTACATACGTACATGCATACGTACATGCATACGCACATACGCACATACATGCATACATGCCTACATATACGCATCATTACACAGGCGTGATTCTCATTTACCTTCGCTGTTTCAGGCAGCAGATTTCGTGTCAAGATGCTGGTTGTATAGTGTGGGTAGAGGTGTTTGAGTCCGTGATGCTGCCAGGTGAACGAGGATGCGTGGCCGGGACCGTTTGAGGTGCTTTTCACCGAGAGTTTGCAGAGTTTCGGCTTGAGGATTTCAGGGTTCAGGGCCTTGGCTTCAGGGTTAAGGGGTTCCAGGCAGTTGGGTTGCGAAGTTTCGCATTTTGGCTTTAGGGATCTCGGCTGTTGAGGATGTGACAGCCACATGCTGTAGTCTGTTGTCAGGTGCTGAAACATTCTAAATCGCCCGGTTAAGAGTTCTCCTTAAACTCTAGGAAAGATCCGTATTCTGCGAACCTGGGCTAGGGGAGCAGGAAAGCTTTGCTAGCCGGCAGCTGCAGCCTGTTTCCGTGTCGCCAGGATGTCTTCATTTACATCATCTGCCAGGAAGCAGCCGAACTACCAAAAGTCAGGCTTGACACGGGCTTGAGTCTCATGGAAACAGGTGTTCGAATCAAGACAGGCACAGCTTCTATGTAGAGTATTTGTAGACATCTGTCGTGAAGATATTGAAGGTGACAGCAGTGCGAAAATCACACATAATAGTAAGACAGTAGCAACAGCAGGAGTCATGACGACAAACCAAACTAACGTGATAATGATTACGGGCACACTGAAGTTGCGTCGCAAGCTCCTCCTTCTTGTGACCTTTGCTCACACGGTTCGACTCGAGGAACTACATTGAGAAGGCTGATGCTGTCGCAACCAGGCGGATTGAGGGTAAGGGTCCCTTTGTGTCCTTAATGCTGTAGAAATCGGAGCACCAAAGCAACTGCAGATGCTCCTGGTGGCAGGCAAGGTCGAGTCCTGCGGCATGTCATTTTCAACCTCAATCTCAACAAGCTGAGGCGCCGACCAGCATGACTTCCCTGTCACAGCACATGCCTTTATCTGCCACTTGTTGTGACTGCGCACCGGCCCAGCATTCCAAGCTGTATCCCAGGGGCGACATTGAGTTTTACAACAAGTTGCTTCCCTTCCAGCCTGGGCAAGCTACACCCAAGGCGGCATCGTAGGGTTCCCTGGCGGCTGAAGTGCAAGTGCAGTCGGCGTTGCTTACCGAGGTCCACCTGGATTTCTTCTCCACCTTCCGCAACTCTTACTTGATTCGATTTGGAAAGCTGGAGTCTTGGAGACTAGCAACTCGTGCACGAAGTAGGATGGCATTGCACTCGTTGCCACGGGCTTCCCCCTAGGTACACGCAGACTGTACTGCGAGACCCCTTCAACATCAGCTACGTGGGTGCCATGTGCGCCAGCTTGCCACGCCCGCGAAAAGCACATTTTGCTTGTGAGCCACGGTGATCTGTCATAGATATCCATGCAACGATGCATGGATGCATGATTTATGCTTGCATGCAGACCTGGGCAGAGGCAACACAAGCCAGCTCGGGCTTCGTTGATAGAGTCGTGTTGAATCGTTGAATGCCCTTGCCCGCTGAAGCAGGTATCATGCCTATCCCAGTCCGTGGCAGGTGTTTATGCAGGACTTGCTGCGTTCGCGCGCATTTCGGGGTTCTGAGGGTTTAGGCAGAGTTGAGAATTTTGCTGCAGGATCCCGATGGAAACTACCAGCCAATTCACGCCACCGATCTTCGCCAAATCCTCAGCGCGACGGAAGCAGAGCCACACTGCTTTGTGGGATCAGGCAGTCTTGCATCGGGCACTCTCAGAGATCGAGGTCAGGGTCAGGTTGGGTCCATAGATCGTTGCCAAAGATATGGTAGACCCGGCGGCTATTCTTCGCTCTGTAACAGCTCCTCGGAAGGACGGGTCGGAATCTAGGAAGGAAGAACCTCAAGTTGAGTCTGCTCTAACCTCTACATGGCAGTATATTATTTCGGTAGTGCCGTGCGAACCAACAAGTAGCACATTGATGCATCTAGAGTTGCATATATATATATATATATACACACACACACGCACTATGCACGCAGAGATTTCCATCATGCTCCAGACTTGTACGTGCGTATATATGCACATGTGTATGCATGCATGCATGCACGCCTGTTGCACCTCTTTGAACAAGACCAGCTTCGAGGTCCATCAATCCAGTGCGTAAAGCCTTGCCCTTAGCACCACGTGAGCCGGTGCGGGGATGCTGTGTCGCACGAATTCAATGTTCCCTGCAACCGCTACCACTACCACAACTGCCACCGCTGTCGCCCTTGATCTTCCCGTGGATTCGTGCTGTGATTGTCAGATCCTTGGTTCAAAGTGGAGGCGTAAGCTGCAGCGGGCAAACGGCCTGTGGCGGGATGTTGGGCTGCCGGAGGCAAGCTTGGAGCGATTAGCTCTCTTATGGCTTAGGGCCTAGGGTTTTCTGGCATGAAACTCTGCAGAGCGTAGACAACGATAGTACGGAGAAGTGTATCACAGTACGAACAAGCCGAATGAGGTTGAGATGTGACATCAGGGTTTGCAGCCGTACGCTGTTGACAGGACGAGGATGAGGACGACGTGTACAAAGTCGTCGACATGAAGGTGCCATGCGCCCCAAGACTTGAGCCCTCAATCCCCAGCCCTAAAACATACCCTGAGCCTGATAGGGCATTCCGATCGGTAGGCGAGAGGAAAAGGAGCCTAACAAAAAAGCGGCAGTCGATCTTCGTTGAAGCGGTAGTGCGAGTTGCTCGAAACTCGGATTTCCGTTGAGATGCCAATTCGCTCTTTCTTTGGGGCAGCTGTTCTATTGAAGGGAGATTTGGTCAGGTTTTGTTGGGGTGTTTCCGGACGTTTCAACAGCTTTTCACAGGATTGTTGTGTTGGTACAAAATTGGTCTCCTGCAAGAGCATCGGCACGTCTGTCCGTCTGTCTGTCGGTCGTGACATAGCCCACATTTGTTGTTCACGGCTTTTCTACTGAAGCTGATTTATGGCCCATTACAAACCGCAAGTGCTGTTGTGGTCATTGGAGTCCTTGCGGTCCCTACTGTTGTCATTGCCGCTGATATCGCCGTTGCTGCTGATGCGAACGGGTTTGCAAAATGTGGCAAGGAGAGCAATGGTCAATGACCATGTTCAGAATGACAGCGTGCTATCAGTATTTCTGTCGACGCTTGTCTTTTTCTGGTGCTTAGTATTAGAGATGTCGGAGTTGTAGAGGCGGCGGGAACCATCAACAAGACGGTGCTGCAGTTCATCAAAGAAGGTGCCGGAGATGCGCTGTGGTGGGAGGACCGGAGCAACTTGAGTGCATAGCACATCGGCATGGCCCCAGTCTGCTGTTGCTAGATCGAAGCAGCAACAGAGAAAGCAGGAAGAGTTCGAGGATGAAGTGAGTCGCAAGTGGCGCCTGGCCTAACTTGAACTCCGAAAGCGACAGGAGCGGGCAGCAAACACGTGTCGTGCTTGACTGTAGCATGAAGTTCTATTGCGCCCTTCTCCTTGCATGCAAACGGTGTTTAACGACAGGAAGTCCGGCAGAGCGCTCGATAGTGCCCATGGAGCCAGTTGCTCGTAAGTACGCGGCATGCAGACTAGGACCAGGACTTGGCGACGACTTTCTGCCGATGTCGATTTTCAGGTTGGCTTTAGAAGTCAGCTTCAGTTTCGCGCTGCCCCTGCAAGCCGGGTCATGCGCCTGTTGCTCGATGCGCAAGCAAAGCTGCAAGAGACGCCATTCTAAGGATGTATAGACGTACGGACGGTGACATAGTCAATAGTTGTACTTCGAAACTCCAAACTCGGTCAATTCCCATCTTCGGGCACCAGGAATTTCTGTGTAGCACTCTTGTTTTTCCAGACCTCCCTGTGCGCATGTCGTGAATGCATTTCGGTGCACGCGATTCGAAGTGGAAAAAGCTGCCCTTGCAAGCACACCCCATGGCAATGCCTAACTGTCAAGACAAGCGCCCTCGGGGCCCTCGGGGTGTGATATACAAGCAATAACAACTGTTAGAGGATAGTGCAAGCCCGTTTTGGAAGCAAGTCTCCCAGTTAGGACTTCCAAGTTGTCTTCCGCTGGTTACCGGTGCGCTAATGGTTCAGTGAGATTCCCCCGTGGCCAAGGATATTGCCAAAAGGCGGTGCAGGCTAGCTCCCGAGACCTCGAGCAGTCGTACACCCCGGGATCATGCCATGAATTGCCCGCCAGTTCAAGTGAGAGGAAAAGGCAGATTGCAGAAGAAGCTTTCACTTTCAAACAGCTATCACAAGTACACTCAAATCCACAAACATTCCTGAAATCTACTGTATTCCTTCCTGTCGCTTGTTTCCGCACTTTTAAGCTTTAGGAAAGGGCGTGGCCCCATCCATTCTGCAGCAATGGCCGTCATCCTACGTCGCATCCTCGGACCACGGGCTTCCGCTTCCGGGATACTGGGGTTTTCCGGATGTAAACTCCTCTAAACCGGAAAGACCCTACATACCCTACAACCCTAAACCCCCAAACCCTGGGCCCTTCATTTTGACCTGAGATGTTTGAGTGTCCGTATTCTGTCAGCGGCATGCCGAGAATCGAGGTCGGCTTTCCTCCTCCGTGGCCCCGAAGGTGCGGCCAAAAACAGATGGGTTGGGCTTTGGCCTTCAGGATCTGTCGGGTTTCGGGTCTAGGGTTTTAGGGTCTATGGGGTTTGGCGTTTAGTCGGGTCTCTAATGTTCAGGGCCTCTACGGGGCTTAGGGTCCATGGTTTCGGGCCCATGGCTCTTGGGTCTCCGGGTTTCAGAGTTTACGGTAGATAGGGTTTGCCAGAGGTGTGTGAGGCTCGAAAGTAGGAAAGGACAGAGCTCCAGGATGTCGCAGGCAGCGATGTGGGAGTTGCGGAAGTTAGGGGGCCCTGGCTCCAAGCCCAACTGGGTTTAGCGTTTAGGGCTTAGGGGTTTAGGGGTTCAGGGGTTGGGGTTTAGGGAGGGCTTAGGGGTTTACCGAAAGTTGAAGAAACACCTCCATGGTCCTCAGGGCATGGTCCTTCGAACGGGCAGCTTGCCTCGGCATTTCTCCTCATTGCAGAGCAAGGCGGGCAGCCGGAAGTGAGAGCTGCCAAGGAAGCCCAAAGATTGAGGAAAAGAGTCGCAATGATCGGGGAGAGAGAGGCTTTGTGACACCGGAATTCCGAGACGGTCCTAGACCATTCAGACCGCAGACAGCCGTCACGTAGCCATGACAGCTCGGGAAGGGATGGACCTGACAGGTGGATGACTTTTGCAAGCACGTGGAGCTGCACCTTCCAAAGGATGGAAAGAAGGTCGGTTGTGAAGACATTGCCCAGGAAAAACCTGCAGATCGACTGTCTGCCGGTGCTACAACATCTGCCTGTACACGACTGCTGGCTGTGTCCAGGTCGTCTTCGCAACAGCCTGGCTTGCAACTGACAACGTGTTCGTTGCGGGGTACTTAGAGCATGTGAGAAATGTTCCCCGGTAGTTGGAATTGGCGTGGGCACATCGTGCTGAAGGTCGATTTTTTGTTTCGGTGTCAAAGCGTTATAAACCCAAAGCCTTGTGCTATTCACCACTAAGTCACTATGCCGTGAAGCATCTAGTCTAGCATGAAATTACTCAGACCCGAAGCTTCTAGTCTTCCGAGGCCCTCATGCGGAAGCACTTCCCAGAGGTTTTGAACGGCGGGGCTCACAGATCTTGCGGATTCCACAGCCGGAGGCACGTGCCAGGTAGTAGATGGAACGGGCCAACGATGGAAACGAGCTGCGAGATCCAAAAGACAAGCGTTACCAGAGTTGCGTGCTCGCGAGTTCTTTGATCGTTGGAGTTGCCCTTTCCTGATGTCTGTCCCGCAGACGTGAATTCAGCATGCCACATGCAGGATCTTTGCAGCTGTGGTACTACCTTGACATTCTGCAGGGGGCACATGTGCAGAACCAGTGAGCCTAAGGCATGAACCTCGTTGCCATCGACACACTGCACCTCTTCCCGACCGCCCTGGAGTGCGCCAAGTTGGTTGAGGTGCGCCTGGCTTGGATCGTTCCTGAAGCCAGAAATTCCCCGAGTCTTGCGTCTTGCCTTGGCTGCGAGTACCGACCAGCCCAGCAGCCCTGCTTGCCAGGAGAAGTATGCCAAGCAGGCACGGAAGAATAGACAGAATCCTTTAAACTCATTCAGTCTGCACGTCTCTCACAAGCTCTGCTCGAATGGACGGAACACTAAGAGTCGGTTCCTACCGTGGCTCAGAGGTGCCCGGTTCATGCAAACCCGATTCAGGCCCTTTGGAAGTTGCCGAAGGGCATCACGACGTGCCTCGGAGTACAAAATGCGTTGCTGTTGGATATTTTCAGGTCTTGGCAGTGGAACGGCTGCATGCTGTTATATGCTGTTCGAAACGCCTGGAACACCTGAGGTTCTGCTAAAATCTTGGCCTAAGTGGGTTTGGAGCGCTATGGACTTCAGCGATCACCGCAGCTGCCAGACATCTTCATCCAAGTAGGGGGCAAACACCGCACGGGGTACTTCAGAGGGGATTCTATGTGCAGCACTCCACCTAGAGCTGAAAAGCCCAAGCCCAAGGGCCACCGAAAACCCATCCTCGGTGCGAGTAGCCCCCTGTACTTATACATTATATACTATATACCATATATCATCTATCACATACAAAAAACTATAAGATAGTGTTTATTATATACCGTAATCACATATTATACCGACATGGCAAAGGAAGGACGAGTTCATTGCCAAGTACGGAGACTGCGAGGCGGTCCAAGCTGTTTGTGGGGTCCGGATGCCAGGGGGTATGAAAGGAGCTCTAAACCAAAAAGGCCCCTAAACCCTGAACCCTCAACCCTAAACCAAAACGCCCTAAATCCCAAAGCCCGGAACCGTATTCTCCAAAACCCCAAGCCCCAACGCCCTAACCCGAAATCCAAGCCATTCAACCCAAGACTCTGGACCGCCTCAAACCCTGAACCCTTGAACCCCCAATCCTCAAATCACCTAAACCTTCAACCCTATACCCTTGAACCCCAAACCCCAACTTCCCTGAATCACGTGAATCATCCACAACTCTAAACCCTCACTCCCCCAAACCCTAACTCCTAAGCCCCAAACCCCAAATCCAAGCTCGTCGTGGGCCAGGAGCTGGACTCCGCCGACTTCGACTTCGTGAGCAAGGCAAGGCCGCACTGCGTGGAGCACCTTAGGCTGCTGGGGCTTCGGGTTTAGGGCCTTTAGGGTGCAGGGGGCTTGGGGTTTAGGTTTAGGTTCTCGTATAAGGGGCTTAGTGTAAAGGATTGAGTGTTCGATCTAGGGGAAAACTGGAGCAAGGTTCACTGCTTCTGTTGCCCGTTTCTCCGGTTTTAAAAGCGTTACTTCTTTTGCAGCCTGTTGGATGTCGTGACGGAATGCAGGTGGAGCCTTTTCAGCGAGCTTTGGAGGAGTGCGAGAAGGATGGGGCTCTGGCCCGCGCAGTGTTTTGTGGGTTCCTGTTTGCGCTTCAGAGTTGTTTGGCTGAGCTTCTGAGCATGGTCCGGTGGTGCAGGCTACTCAGTACACTGGGGGCATGCTGTTGCAAGTTCTATTTGTCACTCAGATCCGCGAAATGTCAGTTACAGGACATCCTGATCACCGGCCGTCGAATGGATCAGGCTGCTCAGCGCATCAAGCTGGATGCCGGAGCCCTGTTTCTTCTGCAAACGGGGTCATGCTAGATTCTGCTAGATCTTCTCGATTCACTTGGTGACAGGAGTCAGCTTTCCGTCTGCAGTAGCTTCTGAGAGCCGGAAACCTAAAACCCTAAATCCTATAGATTCTAAACACAAAACCCTATCGACCCGAAGCCCTGAACCTTGAACCCTAAAACCCCTGAACCTCTTCTTGCCATGCCGAGGTCTGGGAGGATCAAAAGCGCACTTTGAACCCAATGGCGAACTTCAGCTGGCAGGATTCATGCACTTAGCGTTTAGGGTGATGCATGTTACGCAGCCGGACTGCAATACGGTTCGTGATATAAATCCTGCATTACCCATTATAAGGAATATACCAATAATTCCTATAGTCTAGGGTCCTCAACCCTCAGCCAGGCGAGCGCAGCTGTAAGTTTCGAGCTTCTTTGGTCACCTCAGGGTCTTTAGGTTTCCCCGAAGGCCTCCCCTTCAGGGCACATGCATAGGGCCTAGGGGTTCGGGAACCTCCAAGTTCAAGCCTGAGCAAGTCGCCCATGTGGTAGGATATCATCGACTATGTGGACAAGGAGGGCGTCCCCGTGAACGGTCCGAGCCTTCGATCGTTGAAGCGGCTAGTTATCGTCCTCATCGGTTTCTGGCGTTGCCATTGCTGGTCATTAAAACCGTTCATGTGTTGCTAAATTGCGTGCAGTTGCCAATCTTTTGGAATAGGACTTCGTTTCTCAGCCGC